AATTTAAAATTATGATCTTGCAAACGTTTCCTTTGTCGCGCCCCCATATTGGAAGTCTACGCCCACATTTTTCTGTCAACGCTACTCCCCACACCTTCCTCTCCTCCTACTTCTTTCAGCTCCACCACCTCCGTCTCTCTCTATTTTACTCTTTCCTCCTCTCCCTCCATCTCTCCCATTCCCCCTCCCCTCCTTCCTTCCCTCTTCTCCCACCCTCTCTCCTTCTCTCCCTCCCCCTCTCGCCTTCCTCCCCCAGCTCTCCCTCCCACCCCTTCCCTCTCCCCTCTTTTTACCACCAACTCTTTCTCCTACTTTCCCTCCCTTCCCCCTCTCGTCTCCCTTCAACCATCTCGCTCTCCCCCTCCCCCCCCCCCCCTCTCCTCTCTCTCTCTCTCTCTCTCTCTCTCTCTCTCTCTCCCTGCCTCTCTCCCTCCTCCGTACCCTCTTCCTCCTTGTGCCACCCTCACTCCCCTACACACGCGCCACTTGCCCATGCCTGGTGTCGCGTCTATAAAAACCCGAGCACCGTCTACCCCTCACTCACTCTCACACTCACACACACGTCCTCTCGTGCACGGCCTCACAACTGAGCGCTCACTGGACACTGTGACGTCATCCATTTGGTCACCTGAACAGTTTACAGGTGGCAGCACAAGAAGAAGAGGTACATTTTCATGTAAGTAAATGGGCAGATTGGCATTGATTTTAGTTGACATAATGTTAGACTTTTCTACATTTATCTTCTTACATGCCGTTCTTTGTTTTAAACCTTATTTCTTTTCGATAATAAAAGAAAATATTGATCTTTTCCACTGCATTTTACAAACATCTAACTTGAAAGTACTTATCATGTGACTGAGTCACTCAGTATATGATGTATCCGTGTAGATGAAAAAAGCAGAGCGTTTTCATTAGTTTTATACTAGTTTATTTAAATGTCTAAATATATATGTTTTGGGGGGTGTTTGGATGGGGCATTTCGTCACTATGGGAGTGACTGCCTCAGCAGGTATCTTTTCGTGGGAGCAAGAAGCGACATTGACCCATGAACGATACCGACTGCAACCCAAATAGTCCCAGTCCAAATCAGTAATAGAGTTGGGTTGTCAGAAGAGTTTCCATATCTCCCTATTCTCTTGTTTCGACCCTTTCGGAGGTGAAAGTAAAATCGGTGTTTCTACCTGTCAGAAAACTGTGTTGTGTTACGTTAGTCGTTTGCACCCAAGCTGTACGAAATCCTAACTAACAAACAGAGATATTGAACGTTTCCCTAGGAATGACAAATATTACTTCAAATGTTATCTCTTTTGCGGTATTCGATACTCTCGAAGCTGCTTTAACGGCAACCTGTACAAACGGCTCCTTCCTATTTCCTCCCTTGAGGGATTTTATATCATAACTAGATCTAGCTGGACTCCTTTTTATGAAAGGAATGATCGGTGCATTAACATCAACTGACAGTCATTGGCCTACTATATTTACACTTTACTGGAATGGAGCAATAAATCTTGAGAGATGCAAACAAATTAGAAGGTCGAGGGAGACGTATAGATTGATTCCCTATTTCGCTTTCGTTGTTGTACACTCCAGAATTTCAAAGGTGTGGAATCACAGTGGGCACGGCTAGTGAACGGAAACCTCACTTGTTTACAATAGCGTCTTAGAAGACGGACTTTCCCAAGATTAGACGTAAACGAAACAAATGAAAAACTGAAAATTAAACTAGTGACTTCAGGCTCCTCAATAGAACTGTGCACCCTTTAAATGATTCTGAACCACTATTAATTTGGTCACATTCGAAAGTTAAATGGTTCGGAAGTTTTAGGCGGCTAAAGTGACGAACTTTCACAAATATGTTATGTATAGATGACACTAACTGTATAAGAAAATCGTCTGTCAAATATTGGCACTTTTCTCCTCTACAATTATGGGTGGCTGTGCCTCACTCATCTTGAACCTGCTCTTTTTTGTAAGGTCATATGAGCGCGTAGGACACGTTAAACATTTTCAGTTGGTAAGAAATTTTGAATTTTGCCCGGGTGGGAACTGAAGCCTACTTTTATCGATTTTGGAACACCAAAGGATCTTTAACATGCGCAACCTGCACACAGGACGTCCGAGATTTTTCGCCCTTATCCGAGAAAGCTAGGTAGAGATTTTTACCTACCATAAGATCAGGGGTGTGGCTGAAAGACTGCAGTAAAAAGTAGCCAGGGAGTAGCAGTAGAAAGGCTGCAGAAAGAGCCAGGAGTCCAGAGGGGAAGGGGGTGGGGGGTGAGAAAGTGGAGACAAAAGCAGATGACAGAACCTGATCTGACAGGAAGAATAGGATGAAAAGAGTCGTAAACAAAGAACAACTCACGAGGAATCAAAAATTATCCTAAATAAGCCGTTTAATGTTTGAAGTAATCATATTCAGCTGGTTTGATAACCCAGGTGGTATAGAGATTTGCACGCAAATTTGCAATCAGTTTGTGTGTGTGTGTGTTTGTTTGTTTGTTTGTGTGTGTGTGTGTGTGTGTGTGTATGTGTGTGTGTGTGTGTGTGTGTGTGTGTATGTGTGTTTGTGTGTGAGTGCGTTTTCAAAGAACAAGTCACCAGATATATGCGACGGCTCTGCTTGGTTCTCCGCGGAATGAAATTGTCCTTTAGTTCTCCTAGCTTTGCAATGAAATTTATTATAAATGATAAATACGTGATGAAGAAAAGCCTCTATCACTTACTCTCTGTCTGTCTGTTTGTGTGTCTTTCTCCCCCCCCCCCTTTCTCTCATTCTCTTTCTCTCTCTTCCTCTCTCTGTGTCTCTCTCTCTGTCTGTCCGTCT